TTTACTACATGTACAGTGCTGGAGTGACCTCACAATAATATTGTATTCAGTGTGCTAAATGCTAAACAGTAAATTCTTCTTTTAAAATTAATTTGTTATATACATGTACACATACATGTAGCTGACTTTGAAACCAAAAACCTCAATTAGAACAAATCCTTTTGTTTCATTCATGGATTGGTACAACACACACTCCTGCCCAATATAAAATGCATTTGCCTACACCCACTTCCAGTCTCATGGCTAAAAAATAGAGGAATCAGCCCTTTAACCTTGCACTCTGTTTTAGCTACTTGACCAGGGAAATTCCACACCGAGCTATAAATTAACTATATATACTTGTACATGTACATATACATGTAATATTAGTTTCAAAAATTAGTTTAGACACAACATGTAGCGTTACAGCTATAGCTTAATAACTACATCAAAATTAACTTCAAAATAGCATGTACATGTGTACATGCATGTACATTCATGCAGTAAAATAACAATACAAGAATTTCTTTCAAATTGTGAAGAATAGGGCTACCGTATAGTGGAAAATTTTCGTGGCCCAAAATTTTCATGGATTTCACGTTTTTTTTTTAATCCACGAAAATAAAATCCGCGAAAATCGATTCTATATGGTTTAAGATGGCCGAAATGTACATGTAGAAAATCACAAAAATTAAAGCCACGAAATTGATTTTTGGACAGATCCTCGAAAATTTTGGGCCACAAAAATTTTCCACTATACAGTATACATCGTTACAGTTCTCATTGTTTAGAATCAATATTTTGAAATGCTCACAACACATACAGTATTTGTAGTTTTGAAATGGTACTATTCATCAAATTTACAATGCTTAATAACAAATTCTTTGTTAGCAATATCAAGAAATAAAATTTAGCACCCGGCCATTGGTATTAAAATTTTGGTGCATCCACATTGCAGAAATGAAGACAACCATAAACAAAAAATTGTTGTTGGAGCCAGCCTACATACATGTGCATGTACATGTAGCATATGCCATAGGGGTATCAATGTACATTGTTACATGTACAATTACCAGAAAGTTGAAGTAATGACATGTACAAAAGAGCAAAACATCCAAACAAAATAGTTCAATTTATACATAAATGCATGTAGACAATGTACAGTGTACATGTACCTGTATGGTACATTGCATGTACATAATACCAATAATTACTTACTTCTTCAGCATACATGTTTCTAGAAGTACATGAAAGTGCGAGTAGATCCTACGCAATATTTTCAATTGAATGAGTGAGCTTCTTGTATTAAAACCTTTTTGATATTAGCAGAGAAGAAAGAGAGAGAGGGAGAAATGTAAAGATATCCTCCAGACACAGTTACTTGCTGTTTTGCTAATTCTACCGTATAGCAGGAAATTTAGGAGGGAATTAAATTTGGTGAATTTGGCGTTTTGATAGCCATTCGCCAAAATAAAAATCCGCCATTTTGAGCCATTATGTGCATGCTCAATGGCACATGGCCACTAATTCACCAAATTACAAATTGCCAATCACCAAACTTCAGCAATTTGCCAAAATTTAAAACCTTCCAAAATTTCCTGCTATAAGGTATTCCTTCAAAAAATTTTCCCTACAATAATTAATAATAATTGTTATTTTTATTATTCTAACTTAAGGTTTCCCACAAAGCATATTATGGAGCAAAAAAGCATGATGGCTTTTGGAAACTTAAAAAATCATAAAAAGATCAATTTGGATCAAAATCAACTCAAACGTGCTACACAACTTAAAATATGTATGCATGCATCAAAAATTTTTTAAATCAAAAATTCTCTCCAAGTCATTTTTGGCTAAATTTAACCTATAATATAGTATGGGGACTTTGGGACTAATTTTAGAGCAACTTAAAAATTAAAAAAAAATCTATTTTTGCTCCAAATGAGCTCAAACTTGCTACACAGCATAAGAACATGTACATGTAAAATTATGTATAAAAAATTCAAAAAATTTTTATTTTCACAACTTAAGATTATTCTGCTCTTAATATTATTATTTCAGTTTTTCTGCATGTTTAATAATTATTATTATTACTTAATAATTCTTAGAAAATTCCCTCTTAATTAATTTTTTAAGTAACTTTAAAGTTTTGTAAAAATTCCAATTTTGATCAGCATCAGTTCACATTTGCTACACAACATAAGAGTATTATGTGTACATGCACATTATCGAGAATACAAAATAACTATAAAAATTTTTTTGATAATATGCACCAAAAATTATAAATGTGGAGATATGTCTCTCCTTGTCTTTTTTGGCAAAATTTGGTCAAGTTGCTGTACTAAACAAGAGTACAGGGCTGACAGTGAGTTCGGCCTGATTTTTGTAACTTTAAAAATTCTTAAAATTCTCTAATTTTTATTGGAATTAGCTCAAAATTTGAATACAACACAAGAACATAAGAAATATTACAAAAATACAAAATTGACTCCTAACAATTTTTGAAAATACATGTAATCCTAAATAGTAAACCCTGAATAGTATATTATTTTGTTAAATTTTTGAGCAACTTTAAAACTCGCTGACAAGAACCTGCACCAGAATTTTGTGAGGAAACACTGACTTCACTTGCTAAGTACAGTGTGTACATGTGTACATGCACAAATGTACACTACTATATATCTATTGCTGTCAGAAAAGTGAGCTCAACTTACAATTTTTTCTAAAAGGAAGAAACACAGTAAACCATGTCAGCTGCAGAGAAGTAATGCTTGTAGGCTGTAGCCAATGAAAGACACAAATGAACTGAATGTGATATATCCATCCTAAATAAATAATAATATAAATAATAAATAATTATAGCACATTAAAGAGTGCTGTATAGCCAACAACGGCACTCTTTATTGTGCTATAGCTATTATGTACATGTAGTAATGCCATGTGCAATAAATCACAAGATTAAACACTATTTTTATAACAAAGCCCAGAATCTCCACATTAAAGAATTATAGTTTACCCAAATGGCAGATGAAATAATTACATGCAATCCAATCTTTAACATTCTTGTGCATAGAAAGATCCATTGCTGAGTAAGGCTGCTTTGACTGAGAAAGAGAGAGAACAGTAAGCCTATAGAAAGAGATATAGGTACGGCGGTGTATAGACCATCACTACGTTGTACATGTACATAGTACAATAATTATTATTACATTATTATAATTTACAATGTGAATAATCAATTTGAGTAATGGAGCCATGAACAAAATTGATAGTGACATGTAAATATATGTACATGTAGTAGATCAAGAAGTGTCTTTGGACCAGTTTTTTAGCTACTTTCAATCTTCGTAAAAATCCAAATTTGATTGAAATCAGCTCAAACTTTCTACATCACTTAAGTACATGTATATATATTCAGAAAAATGATGAATTTTCTACCTTTCATGTTTGGCAAAATTTGGCCCAGGGTCTTTTACCCCATTTTGGAGCAACTTTAAAATTTGTAAAAAATTCTAAAATTGATCAGAATCAGTTAGTGAAAAACATGTAGATCTATGTATTAGAAATAATTGAATAATCTCTCTAACAATTAAAAAATACAGAGTATAAACTAACGCTAATCAATAATTAATCCACATAATTATAGATCTATCAGTGAATTATTAATCAAGACCTGGTCAATTAACTTCAATAAAGAATTGGTTTCTTTTAAATTCTTTCATCCAGCTCTGTATTATTGATCCCACCACCATCGAGTCAATTATGTTCAGAGTGATCCTAGATCTTTGATTGTCACATTCTAAGATCTTATGAGTTTAATATGACCCTGCCTCTTTTTAGTTTTTAACGACATATCGATTGTCGAAACATGTTGAATTTTCCGAGAATTTTCAAGTGTTGAGGACCTGAGGTCCTGGTCTTAGAACAGGATTCACTACTAGAATAAGGATCCACTTATTAGAATTGAAATATGGCCAC